TCACATTACTTACTTAGCCAGAATAGAGTGATCTGAATTACATTTCAGTGAAGTTGATGTTACTAATTAAACGCAGGGTTATCAGGTCTCATGGTCAGATTCAGAGTTGTTAGAAAATCAAGAGCATTTCATGGGTAAGGAAAGCATTACGTTGGCATTAAGGACGATCAATTTGAAACACTGTATTGAGCAGTTTTTCTCAACCTTGGCAACTTGAAGAGGGTGGACTTCAATTCTCAGAATTCTCCAGTCAGCCATGCTGACTGGGGAATTCTGGGAGTTGAAGTCTACCCATCTTCAAGTTGCCAGGGTTAAGAAACACTGCTCTATACAGTGTTTCAAATTGATCGTCCTTAATGCCAACGTAATGCTTTCCTTACTCATGAAATGCTCTTGATTTTCTAACAACTCTGAATCTGACCATGAGACCTGATAACCCTGCGTTTAATTAGTAACATCAACTTCACTGAAATGTAATTCAGATCACTCTATTCTGGCTAAGTAAGTAATGTGAACTATGAACACCTTTAAAAATATGGTGGTAGGGGGAGAGATAGGTGATATATGAGTCAGACATGTGCCCCCATCATGTAACAAATGTGATTGGAATTTTTATTTTAAGCTAATAATTAGCTGTGTCTAAATATCAGGGGGGGCAAAAAATATTTTAATAGTACAACCTGTGTACGTTTATTCAAAAGAAGATGCAAGGAGTTCAGAAGAGTATAGTAAATATCTAGAAAATACATTACATACTGAAGATATGTCTATCCAAATATTCTTACTCACACATGAAGGTTTGTGGGGAGCAATAATTAGACAGAAACCAACCGCAACCCTACTAAAATTATGCTATTTATCTATAACTCTAGTTTAAGTTATATTGTAGTCTTGAATATGAAAGAATTTTTATTTTAAAAAAATGAAGACAGTTAAAATATGATTATTGCACTCAAAATATGTTTAAAATTAATGCAAACCTGCAATTAAGCAATGTCTGGTAGCAACAGGAGACATATGATGGCTATATACTGTCCCATCAAAATGAAATACATCAGCAGGCTGTTAATTGAAAGACAATATATTATTAAAAACTTGGACCAATTCAAATCATAACCAGAATTTTAAGCACCAGACAACAATTACTATTTATAGCACATTAGCAAATATTAAACAATGTCAAGTTTTAATCCTGCAAATACCATCAACATAATACAAAGAAACATGTATTATATTAGAAGATTAAATTGCTTCTATTTCAAGATTTCTATTCCTGTTTTCAACTACACCTTAATAAAGAGGCAAAAGAAAAAAAAATAACATACCAAAATATTCGTCACTTGACAAACATAAAAGACGACCAATTAATGGATTAAATCAGTGGTCTGCAACCATTTTTGCATCAATGGCCATTTAAAAAACATTTCTACATTTTAAAAAAGTTTAGCATCCACCTATATAGATTTTTATACATTTTATACATTTTTATAAATTTATAAATTTTATAATTTTACACATTTATACTTTTTATATTTATACTTTTTACACATTGTTACTGTTGTAAAATTATTACATTTCAATACTGTGAATAATTACAAAATTGAATTTTAAAATTTAAGTACCTATTATTCTACACAAAATATTAAATAACATTTATTCCTTATTCATACAAACTTATTCATAAAATAACATTTTATTAAAATAATTTATTTCTTTACATTTAATTTGTAATGCAACATTTGTGTTTGGTGCCCTTTAACCATAGATAAATTATCTGGCTTTAAAGGCTCAAATGAAAATCCAAATGATTTCTTGCTTTTCTGAGAAAACACTGGTTGCACCGAAACTTAATTCAACTAGATACAAAACTGAAAACCTAGTAATATTAATGAAAATTTTCTCCACAACTTTGGAGAGGCAGAGGGCATCTTCATGGTCTGCTGAAGTTATAAATATCCACCTTGATTAAAATCAGCTTTGAATTTGTCATTGCAGGCAGCATAATTCCAAAATTTCTCCTTAACTTGTAATATCTACATGATATATATTTACTTTGAATGGATTCATCATGTATGTATGAACTTTCAAATTTATTATGTCAAAAAATCAATTCACCATATTCACTCTCAAGAAATGTAAATCATCTCTAAATTATATATATCAGCATTTTAAATCCATTTTTGAGAATTGATAGAATTCCTTCTGTAAGCAATTTTGCCCACATACCTGTAGATTCTAATGTGTCACTAAATACAGAAATATTTTTGCAATGAAAAAGTGTCAGTAGTTTACCCTGAAGTTTCAAATTAAGCTTATTAAACTTGCTAAAAATACCAGCCAAGTGAAAAAATACCTTTTTGCACACTTTGTAATTTTCTGCAGAAATCAATTTTGTTTCATTATGGCAGAACTCTCAAACACTTCAGACTAATTCTACAAAACATATCAAACAATTCTTTATAGATACAATTGCACATCCATATGCAACAGGAAACTACTGTTCAACATCTTGACAAAGCTGTTAAACAGCTGAGCATTCTTGGAATTGATCCTACTCTTGTTGACTGCATTAATCCCAACATCTAGTAAGTGATGCAAATTTGGGCTTAAACATTTGGCAACAAAATATTGCCTTTGAATTATAAAATGAGTTTAAAAAAAACTTATGGAACTTCTTTTCAAAAATGCCATAAAGCTGGAATATTTTCCTACCCTAGCTGGAGCTCCATCAAATACATTAAACATTTCTGTAAGCAATTTTGCCCAAATAGATTCTAGTTTAAAAATCTACAAAAAAGAGGGAGGAATCCCAAGTTCCGGTAAAAGAGTTTGTATTTGGCACAAACTGTTTTGGAAAATGCATTTCTTTCTCAAGTGCTCTTCTGGAATGTCCATGAACTGGTCATATGAATCTATTCTGAAGCAGGCTTTTGAGAATATTTGAATTTCTTCAAAGGATACAAAACGCTACATAGATTCCCCACCATGACAAAAAAAAAAAAATCTGCAAATTTGGAGGGGGGATTACTGATAAAAATAAGAAGTTGAAAACAATGGAAGATGTTACAAGGGAGAAGACTGCTACAGTTCTATCTTGGGAGAAGCTGTTTGCTGGGTAAATTTAACTCCTTTGAAACACCTAAATAGGGCCTTTCTTCTTTCCCTCTCCTCATGTTCCTCCACTCTGGCTCCCAACTCTTTTTTTCTTCTCCTCTACAATAGCTACCCCATCTCACAATATTTCCATCCTTTTTTGTTCCCCCTTCTATGGTATTTTTGCAAAGAGGAAGGGTATATAACATGTATAGTGTGCACATGTTGGTGAGACTGATTTGCGTGGTTAATATAGAAATTAATTCTGTAAATTAGGTTAATAATTATTAATTCAATTAATTAGGGGTTATTAATTCAACTAATGTAATTTATATTTTCAGACTTCTAGTGCCATTTTTTGGGAATGTGGCTTGTTATTTATCTTATTAAAAATATAAATTACACATAAATACATACCCATGCACAGAATTACTGGACTATGTATAGCTTCTAGAAGAAGGGCCTTCTTAAAATAGCATGAACCATTCCAAGAATGCACAGGTTAGCCAGCTCTAGGGGAAAAGCAGAATATTCCAAGAATGAGCCACCCTATTTTTGTAATGGTACGTGGGAAGGACCTTGGAAGATAGGGCAAAGAGATGCTGCCCAGGGAACGATCAGATAAGAGAGAGCAAAGCCCGCAGCTGCATAGGGGGTGGAGCGAGAGGTTCAGAAGGGATCCTCCCTAAGTTCTCGGGCTGTAAAGGTGAAGATGGGAGAACTGTATTTTCAGACTTGCAAGATTCTGTTAAGCTTTACAATAAAGCAGAATTAGCTGATCTGGACGTGTTTCCTGTTTGGTCTACCTGGTAAGGCTGACAATTTTGCATATCCCTAGGTTATACTGTTAACATTGCATGAACAATTATATGAATCTTGTGAGACATTCTAAAAATATATCCCTGTGCCTCTAACATTTGTCGTTGCTCTTAATGTGGCTTGTAAATTCCAACTACCAATACCTACTTGGCAAGATTATGTCAAAGTACAGACTATGGTATGTCTAGATGACATACTAAGCCAACTTATTTATGCATCTTTGGTCAAAATATGGTTAAGATAGATTGTTTTAGCCAGTTTTATCCAAGTTTGTTGTAAATTAATTCATCATAACTCTAGTTCCCTATATCAGCTGGATCTGGAACAGAGGATTACTCCTACATACAGAGATCAAATTATTACAGAAAACTTACCTGTAATGTATTTGTATCCCATATTTTCAGTGTTTTATCAAATGAACTTGAGGTAAACATGCCAGTATCATGAGGATACCATTGAACAGTCTCTACGCTGAATTTATGAACACCAGGGTGGTTCCTATAATGCAGCATAGAAAAGTAAAACTGCTATTATAATACACAACAAATCTGAATATCTTAAGTCTTTCAAGACCTAAGTAGCAAACCCCTACAAGGAAGAGGTAAGGTCACTGGAAATGCTGAACCCTTCACTATTAATTTCAAACAGGAAAGAAAGTCTAAAGTAGTTCAGATAGCATACTAACTGTAGTTCTACCTTGGTTTAATGTAGAAGAGCAGAACTTAAGCTGGTTCTGCCACCTACTGGATAAGCTTTTAATCACACAATTAAAAAAAATAATACAAAAGCCTTCCACAGAAGATCTGCAAGAAGGCCATCTCTCTTAACTAGCAGTTTTCAATCTGTTTCATCTCATGGCACACATCTCATAGGCAGGACTTCTGGTTCATGAAACCATAAGTCCTGTGATGTCACAGGAGAAATGGAGGCAATATGCCCCTGGTATCACAGAGGTGGGATTCTGGCTGATGCAGCACACCTGCAAACCTTTCATGGGACACCAATGTGCTTTGGCACAGTGGTTAAAAACCAAACTTTAAATGAAAGCGCACAAAATTAGGAGCCAGGGAGATGTGGTTATGAAAATCTTAGCCATCGTCCCTACAGTCTCCCCAAACTGTATTTTTAAAAGGAGAGAAGAGGAAAATAATTCAGTGCATGACTGAAATATAGGACTGTGAAACAATATTGTTTTGAAACATTTTGGGCAGGAAATAAACACACAATTTTCTAGTAAAATAGTCTGTCTCAGTTCTATGGAAGTGTTAAGACTTCAAAACACTTCTAAAATACTTAAAACAACCTATTTCACATTTGGAACTATAATTTAGCACTAAAAATTGGGAAATTCACAAAATTTCATTGATAAAACAAGTCAAAAGGAAATGTTTTGTATACCCCATAGGAAAGTAGCAATATTAAATATTTTTCAATTTAAATTCAATCTTTTTGGCAATCATACAAATGCTAAGTTTAACCTAGACCAAACGCTAACTGTTAAAGCTTGCGTTTTCAAAAGTGTGTATATTTCCTATGTAATCTGTTGGCAAAAGGAGAACAGCAAACAAATTCACCCCTACTTTTCCACATAGCATATTTACGTATTTCTTTTCGAAGAAAAGTAGAGCCTTCTTTTTGAGTCAAGTCTTCAAAGTAGCTTAGAAACAACTGACATAAAACAATAAAAGATTGGAAGAAATAAATAAAACAGAGTGGGACATTTAAGTATATCTAAGAAGCAGTTTGGGTACCATATCAAAAGCTATGTTTACTGTGATGATCAGGGCAAACTTGGAAACAACAGACCAATGAAGAGGAGACCAAAGTTAATTGCTTCTACTATTTTTGATGCAAGGATATATTCTAAATGTATTAAAAGAAACATATATACTGTTTACTTTACTTGATCTCTGTGGATTACAAAAATAAAAAATATATGCAATCCTAAAAAAATAGAACATACACTGTAAAAGCCTGGAGAGGGGGGTTGGCGAGATTCTAGGATGGCCTCCTCACCACTCCCAGAATCTAGTGCCCTTCATATGGCTTGGCTTATGATGATGATGTGTCATCAAGCTGGTGTCAACTTTCAGCAACCACACAGATGTTCTCCATGACGATCTGTCCTTCAGGTCTTCCAGTGGTGCATCTTTCACTATTGTAATCGAACCCATTCACCTTGCTGCTGGTCTTCCTCTTCTTCTCTTTCCTTCCACCTTTCCCAGCATTAGAGTCTTCTCTAGAGAGCTAGGTCTTCGCATAACGTGTCCAAAGTAGGACAATCTGAACCTGGCCATTCGTGCCTTGAGTGAGATTGGCTTATAAATACCATCAGTTATTTGTCAGACTTATTTTCATTGCTTCATTCAGGAGCTCATTTCATTAGTATTCCCGCCTTCCATGTTTTCTCACAACATCCCATGTGAATTAGGTTGGCTAGAGAGGGATTGGCTCATCCAAAGTCACCTGATAAGCTTCTGTGGCTAAGACTAGTCTAGACTTTGGTGTCCCAGATACCAGTCCAACACCTTAATTAATGCACCACACTTGCTCTCATCTTCACAATGCTGGGGTTGATGGCAGTTGTAGACCAAAGCACCATGAGGGCATCAGTTAGAGAAGACTGCCCTACATGTATATTAATTGCCCCAAGAGAAAGAGAAGATGCTGCAGGCAGGTAAAACAAGTATAATAAACTTTCCCCCCTGCTTTTTAAATTTATTCTCCAGTGAGAATTTTATTTCTCTTAAGGTTTGTTCTGCCATTTATTCTATATTATTTCTGTATTTCCACCTCAAAATGGCAGGAAACTATACTCTTGATCTGGTGGCCTATACATCTGAATAAATAATTTTAAAAATTGTAATGGTGACACATGACAAATATTTCATGGTTTAATGTTTCCTATTATAATAATCACTTCTTTATTTTTAAAAAATCTTTTATATATTTGTATTGCCTTGCTTTGTCAACGTGCCTCCACTTTATATAACTAATTTTCTGTTTACCTATTGTGACTTAAATCAGTCTTGCAAATTAATGGCAACTACAAATAGCTTCAGTTTATTTCCCTAAATGTTTAAGTAGAGACAAAGAAATAAAATTGAAATCTGTGAATTTCAATACCAACGTCTCTATAATTCCCAAACTAGAAGACTTTTAAATTTTCTCTTCATGAAGAAGAAATCACAATGGCCTGAAGAAACCACAGTTCCATTATGGTCACTTCTTTGATGCCATTAAAGTATGGGAAACCAATGGTCACTTAGCTAACATGATTAATGATCAGGATGACGAGAGACAGCTTTCAGAACCATCCATAGAGAAAAAATTTGCCATAGACATGAATTCTAGACTGCAGTTTACCAATACTATTGATGGATATCCCATTACTGGAGGAAGGATGTAGGTCACTGGCATAACACGCACCTTGTATGTCAACAATCTGAAGTTCAATCGTTGACACCTTTAGGTGGGACTAGGGAAAAAGGAAATTTGAACAGGTACTGGCAGTCTGTGTAGACACTTTGAGCTAAAAAAACAAATGGTCTGTTAAACAATCCCCTATGGCAACTAACCTCTTCCTGTTCCTAAAGGACACCTGAAGATTAATCTTGCAGGCCATGGAACAAGATCATACTATTAGAAATACGTGCTAATTATGCTAAAGCACAAGCTATGCTAACAATAGTTTCTTAAATAATGTTTCATTTATTTTGTTGACAAAATATGAGTTAGCAGTGAACTATAAATATGTAACATAGGTAACATATTCATAAAAATTTATTTTGTAAGTATACATACCTTCTCACGGAACAAATTGCTTTACAGGTATAGCAAGGCTTTCTGCTAAAGTTCTCAAGGTCATACAATACAATAGCACCATCTGAACCACCTGATAACATACTGTAAGAAAACAAATTATAAACCAAATCAAATATTATAGGCTTTGCTCCCCCTACCAAATATGTCATTTTCTCTTTTAAAAATAGTTGAAAATTAAATTAGTTTCATCTTTTAAAAAGAACACTAGAGTATATTCTAGAACATTTTCAGTGTGTTAAACTTGAAATTGATTTATATATTTGACTTCTTTTAGCATGCCATGCCATTTTAAGTACTATGTCAATCCTTCCCCCCAGTCAAAAATATTTAGACTGAAATATCTGAGTAACGCTTTGATAATAAAGCGTCCTTGATGTAGTTTTAAAGTCGTACTAAAGCAAAACAGTTTTCTTAGACATTATTTTTATAGGCATTTTTGCAAATATTTTAAGGCGCAACAGCACAATTCTTCACACTAATCATGTTCACATGACATGCTAAGACAGTGAACCTGGAAAAGAAAGTGTGGGTATACCACATCCCTGCCCACAACCACTCCACCCCAATCCTATGCAGACCTTTATCCTAGCTTCAGGTTTACCTAAGGCTTGATATGCTGTCCAAGTATGGAGTAGCAATTATTTCCAGTTTGTTAACCCATGTGTCTCCCTGGTTTGGAACTGGCTTGGTCAATGCTTATTTTGTTATCTGCCCAGATTCCATTTTCACTAGCCAGGCAACAAAACTAAAATAACCCACAACTTGTTTTATATTGGTCCCTCTAGGTTGTGGCACACAGAAGCCATAGGTCAATTATATAATAAATATTAAATAAGCTGCCAACATCTATAGGCTAATATGAGAATGCTTAAGAAAGGTACCCAAGGCTGTTTGAGAGGGCCATGGAGAAGCAAGAGGAAGCCAGTTGGCTTGATTATGGGATTAATCAAAAGCAACTCTGGACATACATACATACATATATATGTTTTTTAGGATAGTTATTTGAAAATCGTTAATTATATTTTCAAAACTTGCCAATTTGGCTGGAATTTTTTCATTATGTTGCAAGTAAATTTTCTGAAATTTCATGGATTTGTGAAATTTCAGAAAATGTTTCTATGGAAAAAAATACACATGCACACAAAACCCCCCCACTTTTTTTGCCCAAATTATGATTGAATTTTAAAATGCAAATATTTTCACATAAGTTCAGTAAAATACATTTCACAACAAAGCATAATAAAATAATATACATACTATCGATGTTCAACAGGTTCAATATCCAAGGTATTAATGCCACTTCCATGAATCCTTTCAACATCTTTGTTTTTGTTTAACTCCAAGCTCAATACCCTTTAAAAAAAAGTTAAGCTATTATAAACAAAATAAAAAAATTATTACACAATTTCTAGTTATTGAAATACTGTTAGACTCGTTAATCCGTTACATTTGCCATTTACAGTATCTTCTGTAGTCAATTTCAGAACTTCGAAAACTGACATACTGCATGTCAGTAGAGTGAGTCATTTATATCTATATTACGCAGTCATATAAGCAGATAGGCAAATAACACCTCAAACCAAGCAAATAAAACAATAAATATTTAAGTTATGTATTATATTTCTATCAAGTAACATTTCAATTTTTTAAAATGAATTACTTCCCTGTTTCTATCCTATGTACGCTTTATGAATTATAAATAAAAAAGTGAATCACTGATTTAAAAAACCCTATTGATTTGGCAAAAGTAGAATTTTTTAAATTTAAAATATTTCTTACCGTATTTTTCCAACTATAAGACGATACTTTTTTCTAAAATCCTTACCCTAAAAACT